TAGAATTTGACCACTCCTTAGTATGTTACCTTAATTCTCATCCTGTGGACATACTGATTTCAGACTGCTAGCCTCAAGAACTCTGATAGAATACATTTCTGTTGTAAGCCACCTAGTTTGTGGCCATTTGTGTGGCAGTCCTGGAAATGAATACAAATTCAGTTCCAATGCCTCACTTAGGGATTGTGTTCGTTTTGTCTCTGAAACTCTGGCTCCCTGGGTTTAAAGATTCCGAGCCTCTAAGGGGCACACATTCCCTAGGAAACAAAGCAGGGGTTCCACAAAACTGTAAGCTGTGGTTGCCACCTGGGCACTGGAGATTCCTTGTGCCAAGGCATCAGCAGCCAAGAAGAGCAAATACCATCTTGGCAAGACTAATCAACCCTGATCATCATAAGGGAGTAGCTATGAGGCATAATGTGAATTGCATCCAGGTAATCCACTCAGGTCCCTCTTGGGACTCCCTTGCCCACTTTGGACCCTCTGGGATGAAGGTCCTGGTCATGCATGCCACAGAGAGCAGCAGAGGTTCAAGCTGAGAACAAGGCTAATCTATAATGGGTAGCAAAAGAGGAAAAATGACAATCTATTGCAGCCCAAGACCAGCGGTAGCAATAGGGCTATAGCTTGTCCCATTAACATGTTTCTTCTCAATTATCCTGCCAGGAAGGGAGGCCCATCAGTCATGAGGGACACACTCCTGATTCTTAAAAAATGAATGGATCTGAGGGTGCGAGATGTGGACTATGGCAGATGCTCTGAGAGTCACCCACTCAGATCCCCCTTCAAAAATGTTGCCCAGCTGCTAGAAAAAACAGAAAAACATCCTCAGCTGTCAGCTCTCTAAGGCATCTTCAGCCTTTGCTGGAAATTTGTCCCATGCAATTACATCTCCTTTGGAGGCAGCCTGCATCCTAATGGCCTAACAACACAGAAGCAAAAAGACCCAGATCCCTCCCCACAACTGCCCAGAATCTAGCAGGGTCAAACATTTGTGAAATGGATTATTCTAATTAAGCAAATATTTACTGGATAATTGCACAGTGTTTCATATTCCACATAGTCCTGTGCCTTCTCACTCCCAGTGGACATTTAGAATCACCTGGAAGGCTAAAATATACCGGCATTTGGACTCCACCTCCCAGAGATTCTGATGTAATTGGTTTAGTTTGGGACCAAGCCTGGGTATTTTCTAAGACCTTCCCAAGGGGACAAATATGCAGCCAGTACTGGGAACCACTGAGAGACAGCATGAAAACAGGCCAGTGGGGATGAAGTGAAAGTCAGCGAGGAGGAAGTGACCCTCAATATGCTCCTTTATTCCCATTTTTTACTTCCTTTATCTCACCCAGGGTTGGGGGATCCCAACAGGATTAATCCCCTGACTTGTAGGATGTGTTTACAGAAGACTGTTTTAGCGTGATCTTCACCTTCTGGCATTGTGTTATGCTTTGTGCTGACTTTCCTGACTGTGTATGGGTCCCTTACCTTGGAAATCTGTGCCACTTGTTTTGTCTGCCTATAATTCTGTTCTGCAGCTCTGATCTTCAGCGATGCATGTTCCCTAATGTGTTCCCCACTGGCCTCCAACCCTGGAATTCCTGATCTAACTGTTGGTTCCATCTCTGCAGGGTGCCCCCTCCATGAGTGTGCCCTCCTCTGCCCAAACCCATTCTAGTAAGAAAATTGGGAGAAGGCAGCTCATACTCTTCCTGTTCAAGTATACGATACTATTGACAACTTTCTGAGGGAGGATTTTAATAAATTTCCCAGGAAGTTTTCAAATTCATCTAATATTTCTATTTTTTTATTTGCTAGCAAAGACTCATGTATTCATGTCCACACAGAACCAAAACCCTCCAAATAAATGTTTATCCCAGAATAGATTCCATTGGGAATCTCTTCCATTTATCAACTCTTTCAATTACCAGATGGTAGTCTCCACTCAAACCAGGGCTATATTTAATGTGCTTCCCTCAATCTGATGAATACTGAGAGCTACTAATGGTTCCTCATGGGAGTTTTGTGAATGCAGAGGAACTCCTGCAAGCCCTTTCTATAGGCAATTTTATCAAAGACAAAATCTCAATGAGACAAACTGTTTCCTAGTCTTCTTTACCTATCTGTGACCTTAACTGCACAAGTATTTCCACTGATACTTATTCATTTTTCATATTTTACTGCTGTGTAACTACTAAAACTAACATTTGCTGTAGTTTCTTTTTAAATTACATTTTAAAAATATATTTTTATTAATTTCAGAGAGGAGGGGAGAGGGAGAGATATATATCCTATCTAATAATAGACAAACATGGTAATTGACCATACCTTCACTACACCTC